CTTTCTCACCCTCTCTCCCAAGTTGAATGTGGCCATAGCTGCTGAGCTCAAGAAAGCCAACAAGCTTGAACAAAACAGGGAGAAGCAGGCTATCAAACCTGTGGCTGCTGCTACCCAACTCAAGGTCAAAAAGGAAGAAAAGCCTAAGAAAAGGAAGCCTCACTCAAAGCCAGAGGAAGAGGTAACAAAGGAGGAAGCATCAGAGGAGGATGCATCAGAGAAGGAAGCCTCTGTTGTGGCCCCCAAAGTTACTCCTGTCAAGAAGGTGAGCCAGAAGAGGAGAAGAAAAGCAATCATACAGAGTGATTCTGATAGCTCCAAGTCTCCTATCAGAGTAGCAAAGAAGAAGAAGAAGATTCTCTCACCCCCAAGGAGTCAGAACCTCAGGGGGAACCTGTGTAACACCCCGGCCCCGTGGGACCCGAGGTAGTTACTCCAGACCAATAGTACTGTCCTCACAAACCGCCACTAGCCTTTTACGCGCACTTTGTCCTCACTCATGCGCGCCCTGAGAAACTTCCCAGGGGGTCACCCATCCCAAGACTACTCCCGTGCAAGCACGCTTAACTTTGGAGTTCTTGGGTTATGAGCTCCCTTAAAAGGAGATGCATCTTGTTGGTATGAGTAGTACTATTAATCCTTTTCAATTAATCTCGGGTATTACAATCACCCCCACTTAGGAACGCAACGTCCTCGTTGCGCCCTTAAACCAATCTCAATCAAACCACAGAATCTTTTCCCCTGCTAAGTGTTTGCCCAATATTCAACGGATCAGCACACTGTCGCAGGGTTTCTCTGATACCATTTGTAACACCCCGGCCCCGTGGGACCCGAGGTAGTTACTCCAGACCAATAGTACTGTCCTCACAAACCGCCACTAGCCTTTTACGCGCACTTTGTCCTCACTCATGCGCGCCCTGAGAAACTTCCCAGGGGGTCACCCATCCCAAGACTACTCCCGTGCAAGCACGCTTAACTTTGGAGTTCTTGGGTTATGAGCTCCCTTAAAAGGAGATGCATCTTGTTGGTATGAGTAGTACTATTAATCCTTTTCAATTAATCTCGGGTATTACAACCTGCACCAGAGCTGGCTACTGCACTAGTAATCTCTGATGGTCAGGGGGAACCTGAATCAGAGATCCAACCCATCTCTGCACCAGATCAGCACATCATCTTAACTCCACCAGAGCATCTCACCACTCAAATCCCAGAACTGGATCCTCATGCTGCCCTAGAAAGACAATTTCAAAGGGTACTCACTTGGAGGAAATGGAGGATGGGACCTCTGCAACAGATTCTTGCTCAGGCTGCTACTTATGAATCTGAGGAAGTTGAAGTCCTCAAATGGGCAAGTACTGATGATGTCTCTTTATGCTTCGACCTTCAATTTTTACAATCTGTTCTTGAGAAGAAGAAGGCAAGCTACAAAGGCAAGAAGAAACTGACTGCTACCTCATCAGAGGATCATGTCAAACCCTTATCAGAACACGAGGTTCCCATATTTGAAGAATGGCTAATGGAAAAGAAGAAGAAGGAATCACTGATCAAGATGAAACCCATTCCAGGTGCAGAAGGTGAACCCTCTACTGCAAATGATGTGTCTCTGGCCATGATGAATCTGATCAGAGAATGGCGAGACTCTCAGTTTGAAGAAACGGTTCTTGAGGTAATTCCTATCTCTCCACCTCTTCATATTGCACCAGAACCCCATACCTCACCTCCCAAATCTCCATCCCCTACACCCACAACACCTGACTACACTCCTCCACCTTCACCTCAACCTCCATCACATTCACCCACTCCATCACCCAAGAAAACCCCATCTCCAATCCATCAGAAATCACCTTCTCCTCACAAAACCCCAACCCCTTCACCTAAGCAGCCCTCACCCAAACAACCATCACCATGTAAACCCCTCACCCCCATCAGAAACCGTTCACCATCACCACCACCATCTCCAAAACAATCATCCTCTCAACCTCTATCCTTACCCCTGCAAACTCCTCTTCAGATTTCATCATCAGAGCCATCCCCTCAGGCTCCTCCTCAATCCCCTCCTAAATGTGATCAAGTTCTAGCCACCAGTCAGGCTCCTCAAAGCTTCATGGCTGAGATAGAGCACGTGGGACTCCAGCTTGTCAAGGGTATGAACAAGATTCTGGATGCTGAATATACCACTGACAACCATCTCACCACCTATAGTGAAAAGCTAGCAGAAGGGATTAATGTGCTGCTCAAAAATGTAGGCATCATTGCTATGGCATTTGAACAGCACAAGGACAAAACTGCAGATAGTCTGGGCAACATAGCTAAGGAAGTCGATGGAATCAATGCTGTCCTCTTTCATCACACCAAGGCTCTTGAAGAGCAGGACAAAGCACTCAAAGGCATCTCTGATTCCATTGATGATCTCCAATGGTCCTCTGATAAAGCTCGTCAGGAGTTCCAAGATGTTGAAGGACTGTGCAAGGATACTAAAGAACTCACCATCAAGCTGATCAATAGTGGCAAGGACAGAGATCATAAGCTGACTCTCCTTGAAGCTACTTCTAAGGACATCCAATCTGCCGTAGCTAAACAGAAGGAAACTCTTGATGGACTGGCTTCTGTGACTGAGACTCTCCCAGGGGCTATTGAGACTGTTAAAGAAAATCAGGCAACAGAATTCTCCAAAATTGGACTCCTGCTTGGTGATCTTGTTGATGCCAAAAAGGGGGAAGATAGCAGAGAACATGTCCCACCTCCCAGAGAAGCAGAAGGCCCAAGCTCCAGAGCCATTAACCCTGCTAGATACTTTGAAAGAGCAAGGCAAAAGAGGCTAGCTGCTGGCATTCAGAGACCTCCTCCTCCTAGCTCAAAGAAGAAGAAATCTCCATCCTTCACATTGAACCAATGGCTGAACAGTGGGTTGTCTAAACCAGACACAGTCCAATTTGCTGAGATGAAAAAGCATATGACTCCCCTGCAGCGTGAGAATCTGATCCAAGATGAGAATGGCATCATCACCATTGCTCATGGAGGATCCATAGAAGAAGCTGAGGAATGGTGGAGGATGAGGGTTCTGCCTGGAAAGGATGAGAAGGATGCAATAAGGTATTATCTTGATTGCCAGCTTACTCCACTCTGGAAGAAATACATGATTCCCAGGAACCTCGCTTCAATCAGAGCAAGAGTAAATGCTGAGCTTCAAGAAGCCAAGGTAAAAGAAGAGGCTGTTCTTGCAGAAGTTGCAGAGGAAGATTTCTAAACTTTATCTCTTTTGCATTTCTTACTTGTAAAACTCTGATTAATAAAAATAACCTCTCTGCCTCTAATTTGCATGGCTATATTATATAATGTGTTAATTATTGCTTTCTATTCTTATCTGTTTATTGCGTGATTGCGTGTATCTTACTCTTACTATTTTCCTATGCCAAGTGCCCACCAAGATTTTAAATGAAAGTTTATTCTTAACTTATTTTCCCTATGGTGAAAGGCACTTCTCTGGAAATAGTTTAAGGGTTTTGGCATCATCAAAAAGGGGGAAATTGTAAGGAATAAATGTAATTAGATTTTGATGATGCTATAGGATTAGAAAAAGTTAGAGTACCCCCAATTAGATTTTATGTATTAGAATTTTCATTTGTAAGCATTAGTGTAGTCGACGATCAGAGTTGCTCTGCTTTGGATCAGATCAGGAGTGCATCAGAATTGCTCGACCAGACTTGCTCTATGAGAACTGCTCGATCAGAGTTCTCTTACCAGAAGTCCATCAGAGTTGCACCATGAGAGCTGCTGATAGATTTGGACATCTGATAACCGATGAGAACTACAGATCAGAGGTACTCATCAGCGGATCTATCAGAGTCAGAGTTAGAGATCAGAAAGCCATCAGAATTCAATACTTCAGAAGAGCCTGATCAGAGCCCGACTAACACTTAGAAGATTTCAAGCAACATCCAACAGCTATGAATCCAACGGGTAAAATCATCCAACGGCTAGAAGACTGTGCATGAAAGGAAAGCATTTAATGCACAATAAATGAGCCTGATACGCTGAAGGATTGATTGCAAATGATTGACCAAGGAATCCGGGAAGATATATTATAAAAATAGAAACCTTCCAAAACGGCGGTCAAGTCAACTGTACGCGCATTTAATGCAGTTGTCTCCTCCTCCAACGGGCAGACAACCTCAGTATATAAGCTACACACCGAAGAACAGAAAAACTACCTTTAGCCAAGAACTTTTGCTCCAATCACTGAACATACTTCTTGAGATTCAATCTTCATAACACTCTACAAGAAAAGTCCTACGTTGGGAAGATTCAAACTCCAAATCTTTCATCCCCAACAACGAGCAAAGTTCATCCTGTTCTTCAACTCTTCAAGAACTTCATCAAACATCATTTGTGACGAAGCAAGTTGGAGGAAAAACTTTGTTTTTCAAAGGATCTTCTGAAAAGAAGGGCGTCCAAGTAACTGCAGTAGTGAAGTGGTGATACTTCCGGGAAGCTGAGTGAAAGGACCAGCCATCAGGACGTGGAATTGCATCCTGGGTGGCATCTAGACTTGAAGAAGATGCTTCTTAAGTGCTAGGAATTAGCTTTGTAACCGATCTACTTCAAAGCTAGTGGAACAGTGGACTAGAGGAACGCGTTGTTCCTTGAACCACTATAAAAATATCCGGTGTCATTTACTTTACTGCAATTTTTTTTTTTTTTTTTTGCACTTAGGATATTAACTGATTAACTCTAAGACTGGGGATCTGTGTTCACCAGATCTTGTTTTCAGAGTTATCAGAAAGGCATTTGCCTTAGTGTTTCAGAGGCTACCCGGACAGATCAGAATCCGCTGCCAAGGCCAGTTCTGTTATCAGAACCAGCCTTTCTCTGTCACCAGAATCAGACATTCTCTGATAAGTCATTTTGGACTTAGAGAAAATTTGAAAACCCAATCAGTCTATTCACCCCCTCTAGACTGATTACCATATTAAACGGGACCAACAGGTACAGCCGGCCGTACAATGTAATTTACCGTAGCGTGTACGTATAGAAAACGTGCGCCAAAGCTATTTTCCATAAACATGCAAGGAATTGACGGATGTAAACTATCCTCGAGACATGGCCTCAGATTCTCACACATCAACTCGCCCGGTTGCGGAAACTGTTTTGCTAATATCCATTGTTGGACGTTTTGAGTACGCAGGAACCCTAACCCCGCGGTTGCTCAGTGCAGATTTAATTGAAGGTATTATCGCATCTCTTCTCTGGATTTATGTGTACTCTTTCTTCTCCGTAATCGTTGTTTCCATGTATTTGATCGACGTTTCGTGTGATTCTTTCTCTTTTCAGTCCAGGATCTCGAATCTCCCACTGAAAATGAATCAGGTAATACCTATTGGCTATGTCTATTTTCGTCACATTGGTGCTGCATATCATCTTAACACACATAAGCAGGGGTGGAGACAGTCAGACAGGGGAGGCAGGCGGATGCCTCGCCCCCAAGTGTTTTTTTTTATGTATATACGTATGTATAAATATTTGTAAGTAGTATTGTAGTGAAATTTTAAGTTTTGCCCTTCAATATAAATTCCTTAGAGTATGTTTGTGAGTTTGAAGGGAAGGGGAAAGTTTTGAAGGTTAATCATAGAAGAGAAGGGGAGGGAGAGAAGAAGAAACTCTTCTTCTTGTTTGGGAGTAAATTTTTGAAAAGATAGAGGTTATAGATGAGTTATAATTAAAATCACTTCACATATATGATACATTCAGATAGTTGACTTCATATTTATTTAAAGTTGTCATTTAAGTAGTTATCCTTCAAAATCCCCCAATTTGGGGAACTTAAAATTGAGCATTTGGAGGGTTTTAGAGTGTTACAAAAGCCTCCAAAACCACCCTCCATTTTTTTAAACGCCCAAACATGAAAGGAAGGGTCATAAACCCTTGTCAACCTTCCCCTCCCCTCCAAAATCCAACTCCCAAACATACCCTTAAGCTTTGGCCCCTCTAACTTGTTATTTTTGGCTCCGCCACTGCACATATGGGAACAGAGCGGGTACCAAATACTCTTACCAATGATTTTATGAATAAAAATTTGAAATTTTAATATTGCAATTAATGTTATTAATTTTGTCAACTATCAGGTCGTTATATGCATGTGAGAGCTGGAATAACATTTTGTGTTAAATACTCTTTTTCCCTAACATGTCCGAACTACAAATCGTAAAATGTGGGTTACTCAAGAATGTCTAAATATTTTTGTAGCATTTTTTATTAGATTTCGTAAACACTAACTGGTTAGATTGTAGAGCTCTGTTTCTTTTATAAATTTGTCAGCCTTTTGAACTCTATCATGCTTTCCAATGATTAATCTAAATTTCGTGAACTATATTTGTTAAATTGAGATCTTACAGTTTCTTTTTCAACATACGGTTCTCTATTGCTAATTCCAGTAGTTATCGTCTTATTTTGAAGCTGAAAGCCTGAAATGTTTTGAAATTATGATTGTATTGTTAGGAGAATGAAACGTCTCACAAATTTTCTGCACATGAGAAGAGGAGTGGAAGTCCTATAATTGCTGCTATAGAAAATCGAGATGCCAAGAGGCGGTCGATTGGACTGGCAGAGGATTCTTCAACCATGCTTGCTGAATCTTCTGAGTTTACAAAGCTTGATCCTCCTCCTACTTGTGCCTTGGACCCGAGCAAAAGTCCGGCTCCTAGAATTCCCCAAACAAAACAACAACTGAAAGTCTCTCTTTCCTACTGTTTTTCTCAGCTTAACGTTTTGAATTAATCAGAGACTAACATAAAGAATTACTTTGCTAATGATTTAGGACATGGGTTCAATACTTGCATGTGTGGATGTTGATGATCACGGGTTGGAGAGCTTTATTTATTACATTACTAGTGTGAATGATACAAAAGTGAGTGAGCTTTTATGATTCTTTATAAACATCTTTGGTACTTTGCAATGTATCCTTCAAGCTTTTTGCTGCTGCTATTGTTGTTTTGTTGTTATTGTTCTATCGCATATTCAGGCTGCAGAGGATGTGCTGATAGCTTCAGGATATGAAAAGGGCTCTAAAGAGTATATGGTGCGATATAATTCGGTAAATGACTCGCAAATACAATTGTGTTTTTAGATGAGGGAGGTGGTAAGGTTATGTGCAAGTTACTTACTAATTTCATATAATGGAAAATATTGTTGCAGTTGATGCTGCATCAACGGTCTTATGGACTTACTGTGAAAAGAAAGAACCTTGATATTAGCGGGGGCGTGCGTGTGGAAGCTGTATTGAATGAAGATGGCAGATATGTACTTGGTAAGGTGCAAAAGCACCGGATGGGTTGATGGTAGAGTATCCCTTGTTCCCTTTTAATTGGTATCCTGCTGTGAAGGATACATATTATGTATTAATTAATTAATCAATTATAACTTTGGAACAACGGTACTTTAATGACTATGCTTTACCAATGATGAAACTGTATTGGGAATTGGGCAGTGTATTGCTGTATTTGTAGGAGTATTACTTATTGTGATTATTCCATTTTCGCAAGTTGATGTGCATGTTTTGGTTAGGTACTCCCTATATTACTCCGTAGGAGAGAAAAGACACTCTTCCGACGTAGGGGTCTTATGTGGGAATTGGACTCTCTAGTCTTGTGTCTGTGTCTGTATGATACAAGAACATTGACCTATTTTAATACTTAGAAGTAACACTAAGGACATGTTTACTTCATGGGTTACTAAACAGTGTTTATTAACACCCGCGTTAATAAGCGGCGCATAAAATAAGCAATATTATAAGATTGTGTTTACTTCAAAAGTTTTAAAGCACCGTTTAACATTATAATGTTGAATCAACCCTATACATATATAGACACATACATTCATGAACACAGATATATAATATAATATGTGTACTCATACCCCCTAACCCCACCCTACCTTACCCCGACCCCACCCACCTGGCGTACCCTCCCCTTACCACCACATTGGCCCCACCCTGACTCACCCTACCTACCATAACTCCTGCCCTACCCAACCCAACCTTACCCACACCTCGACCCTGACACCACCCCCTATGCCATTACCACCTAACCCCTAACCCCTACCACATCGCCCCCCTAACCCACCCCCACCACCATTTGCCCCTACTTGGCCCCACCCCGATCCGAAGCCCACCCCCATCCCATCCCTTACCACCCCCTACAACATTGTAACACTTGAGATTTAATATAAACGGATTAATAGTACTACTCATACCAACAGAGGTGCATCTCCTTTTAAGGGAGCTCATTACCTAAGAACTCCAAAGTTAAGCGTGCTTGCTCGGGAGTAGTCTTGGGATGGGTGACCCCCTGGGAAGTTTCTCAGGGCGCGCATGAGTGAGGACAAAGTGCGTGGTAAAGGCTCGTGGTGGTTTGTGGGGACAGTACTATTGGTCCGGAGTAACTACCTCGGGTCCGGTGGGGCCGGGGTGTTACAGGTGGTATCAGAGCAACCCTGCGACAGTGTGCTGATCCGTTGGATATCGGGCAGACACTTAGCAGGGGAAAGATTCTGGGGGTTTGATTGAGATTTGAGATTGGTTTATGGGCGCAACGAGGACGTTGCGTTCCTAAGTGGGGGTGATTGTAACACTTGAGATTTAATATAAACGGATTAATAGTACTACTCATACCAACATAGGCGCATCTCCTTTTAAGGGAGCTCATTACCTAAGAACTCCAAAGTTAAGCGTGCTTGCTCGGGAGTAGTCTTGGGATGGGTGACCCCCTGGGAAGTTTCTCAGGGCGCGCATGAGTGAGGACAAAGTGCGTGGTAAAGGCTCGTGGTGGTTTGTGGGGACAGTACTATTGGTCCGGAGTAACTACCTCGGGTCCGGTGGGGCCGGGGTGTTACAAACATGCCCTACCTTGACTCAACCTAGATCACGGCCCACCTTACTGCCATCCTACCCCACGGGGTCGGAGGTGGAACCGATGTGGTAGGGGGTTGGGGGGTTGGGTAGTGAAGGGTAAGGGGAAGGGTGGGGTGGGGCCAATGTGGTAGGGGTGGGGTCGGGGCCGACGTGGTAGGATTGGGGTATGGTAAGGGGCTAGGGGTTTTGGGGTAGGGTAGGGGTGGTAAAGGCCTAGGGGGGGGTGGTGGGTGGTGGGGTCGGGTAGATAGGGTAGGGTGGGGTCGGGGTAAGGTAGGGGTTAAGGATAGGATATAGTGGGGTGGGGCCGATGTGGTAGGGTTAGGGGTCGGGGTAGGGGTTAGGGGAGGGGCCTCTAGGAGACTTGCGTGGGTAGGTAGGGTAAGGGGTAGGGTGTGGTCGGGGTAAGGTAGGGGGTTAGGATAGGGTGGATTGAGGCCGATGTGGTGGGGGGGTATGGGCTGGGGGCCCTAGGGGTTTGGGGTGGTAAGGGGGCAGGTGGGGTGGGGTAGGTAGGGTAGGGTCGAGGTAAGGTAGGGTAGGGGTAGGAGTAAGGTAGGATATTATAGGGGTGGGGTCAGGGTGGGGCCGATGTGGTGGGGGTTAGGGGGTTAGGGTAAGGTGGTAAGAGGTTGGGCCGATGTGGGAGGGGGTGTAGGGGTTGGGTTAAGCCCCTATAGGGTCGAGGTGGGGCCGATGTGGTAGGGTTGGGGTAGGTGGTAAGGGCCTAGGGGTTTGGGGTGGGGTGGTAAGGGGCCAAGTGGGGTGGGGTCGGGGTCGGGTAGGTAGGGTAGGGTCAGGGTAAGGTAGGGTGGGATAGGATAGGGGTGGGGTGGGGTCGGGTAGTAGGGGCTGGGTGGGGTAGGCGGTAACAATAGGGTAAAGGCAGGGAGTAGATTCGGAAACTGAAAATGCTTAAAGTGCCGCTCAAATAATACATGGGAGGCTGATATGCTTAGTAAGCGGCACTTTAAGCACCTCTTTCGGTTAGTAAACACCTACTAAAAGCAGAAAAGTTTCAGGGATGGAGATTGTGTACTGGGAATTGGGCCAATCACAAGAGCCGTTTAGTAACCTTATTTTTAGCTTTTTACCATACATGCATTTTTTATTTATTTTTGTGCATTAAATTGTGCACTAGTATTCCACCCATGCGTTGCACGGGATGGAAATTACAAATATTATAATATCAACCTCTGAATGAAATTATAGATTATGTTTTATCACATGAATGAGAAGATTAGCCATTAATAAATATATAATAACAAATATGTGTTGTTTAATAAGCACAGAGTTTACAAATTATCGAACACTTCTTTGTCGATAATATTTTTGCCTGGTTTTTTTCGATTTCTATCATCGTTGCATATCATGAACTTCAAGCTAGATGAACTTGTCACCCTTGAAATGACAACATATAACTGTCCATGTGTATAAACCGGACGTCGTAGAAAGATGTCCACATTTTGTAAAATTGTCCTTGACTCTTATTCAGCATCATTGCATAGCATTTGACCCGTGCGTTGCACAAAAAATATTTCATCGATTATTTAAGTATTTTATATTTAAAAATCCCGGTAGGCAAACCATTAAAATTAGTAAGGTAAATATCGGGAAACAATGTAAGATTTTTTTTAAAAAAAAATACATTAAAACGGTACTACCTCTGTCCCAGAATAAAGTTCTCATTCAGTGTCCATCTGGTCGACTTGAATCGATCGTTATTAAAGTATTCTTTTACTTTAAATATCTAACTTTTATCAAATTTGAGTTTCTTTTTGCGATTTTATAAAACTTTTAATATAGTTTTCGAATATATAAATTTGAGATCAATTAACTTTATGCTCAATCAACCATCGTAATCTGAAACGGAAACCTTGTTGTGAGATGGGAAGAGCATATAAAAGACCTAAAATGCGTTAAATAAACACCATCTTAAATAAAATCAAAAGACACTACAAAAATTTGTCTTATATTAAAAAGATTGTAAAACTCAAAAATAAAACTACCTAAAACATGGTTAAATAAAATCTACCTACTCTAAATAACAATGCATGCATGCTATGTTTTGGAAATCAGATTAATTGTAAATTCTAGCTTTCTCGAAAATAAATTTTGTTATACATAAAATTAAAATCACAATCAAATCAAAATCAGATATTAAAAAACAGTAAAACAGCTACAATGAGGATCATTTGTATTAAAATATGATATACCAGAATTGTAAAGCAAACACATAAATTTGGAAATTAACTTGGACTCAAAGTTCTATTGATGTACACATTAATACCTTTTAACAATATCCAAGCAAAAAATTACGTAGTATAAAATAAATGTAATCATACTCAATAACCAATTTTATTTATTTGAGAAAATCTGCAATGCCCATGTCCCTTGCTAATGCGGTAGAGAAGCTAACTAACTTATTAAAATCTTCTTGAGTTGCTTTGACTCCTTTGTGTAAATGCTTAAAGAATGGCAATTCGAGTGTAAACATCTGATTTATCCATAAAAAAGTAGTGCGACGATAGAAATGCATTAATTTATCTCAAAGAACTTGGTCATTCAGATTATGAATTCCGATAGAGCAACCAAATATAGTTAATCTGAAGTATAGTACTTTGAAATTCAAGCATGTTTGTTGACCATTTTTTTCAACTTATCATTAGCCAATATTTTTCACCAAACAAATTGAGGGAAAGCCTGGGTGAATTAGTTTGCGATTTTTGAGTTAATTATGATACTGGATGATATCAAATCAACTCTGATGATTGGAGAAAAACATTTTTTTAAACTTTTTTTTATCATACATTTTTTAAAACTTTAAAAAATCACCATAATAATTAAAATAAGGTTGAAGCTACTTTTTGTAGAAAATCATTTTAACTATTTTAAAATATTTTTCTTTATTTTCTTACTAAAATGTATTTTAACTTTTAAGTATATATTTCCACAATTTCAACCCATTCAACCGCTTTAACCCGAATTTCATCAATTTTGACAGATTCAATCAATTTCAGTGTTATCAAACGGACTTGAAAATAAACAATACAAAAAGCACAATGGGCTTCGTGGATGACTAATAGAGACTCTGTGTCATTCACTTTAGTTCAACTATTGTTTTATAAAGTATATGATGATTATTATAATAAAGACACAAAATAAAGTACTTAAAATATTTTTTAAGTATATTTTTCCATAATTCAACAAATTCAACGGTTCAACCCATTTGGCCGCTTCAACCTGAATTTCATCAATTTTAATAGATTCAATCAATTTCAGTGTTATCAAACGGACTTGAAATTGAACAATACAAAAGCTTAATTGGGCTTCAGGGTGACTAATAGAGAATTGTGTCATTTATTTTAACTCAACTATTGTTTTATAAAGTATATAATGATTATTATAATAAAGTACATGAAATATGGCTAACACCACTCTCATTTTTTCCCTAGACTTCATAAGTGCACCTATGGCTACCACATATTAATGGAATCTCCATGTCCTAACGGTGGTCATGAGATGATGAACCATGGAACTTAATGATTTCATGATGTTCAACCTGGAAGAAAATATTAATAAAATCAGTCGTCTTTTTACAATGATAAACACAAAACTCACACATATAAGTGT